TTTTTTTTTTTTTTTTTTTTTTTTTTTTTTTTTAGTATTTTTAATATACTAATTTCAAGTTAATTCTTTTCAAAAATAATCACTGTCAGACTGGGGAGGGGGGAGGGCTTTTTATCCAGGCATAAAATTCTCCCTAGAGTATCTAATTTAGTGTGTCTTACAGATCATCATAAATTCAGGGTCATCACTTGGGAATTATCCTTAAGAATTAATCCTTTCAAAGGTTTTATATTCAGAAGATGGTGACAGCTAAAGACTGAGAAGACATAGAATGAATGGAGAATTTATTTTATTATATATTCATTTCATTTTCTTTCAACATTTTACAACAGAAATTTAGAAAACTTGCAAAAAAAATTGTTTTTGTTCCCAGTTTTCTGCAATTGTAGGTAGTTACGAGCAAATTATGGATTTACTTATATTACATTATATATATACGATATATATACTGTTTTATTTCACTGCAAGTCTGAGATGTAATATAAAATGTTGAGAAAGTAGCTACAAGAATGTACGCTGAAATATTTCATGAACAAGACATAACAATTGAAATTTTCAAAATATTAGCTTTTTGAAATGTAGTGTCTATATAAAGAAGGCTTACATAGAAATGTATCCATCTATACATCTATGTTAAATAAATATTTCACAATGGTCAGTTCCATGGACTGTACTGTACTGTACTGAAGAGATGTGCAGTGACTGTCATGGGGTATAGATATCTAGTCCCCATTGAAGTTTCAGACAGTTGGAAGTATAAATGTGGATGCTTTAATCCTGACCTGAATCCAAACTGGATGTTATTCACCTGCCTAAAACCAGACATGTAGTGCAATTTCAGTATCCTGTCTAGATTCCAGTTGCCACTTCAGAGGGAAATTTTTCTGATGAGGACCTGTGTCACATCTGTCATTGTCTTATGGTTCTCAGACACCTTTAAGATTATCAAAGGACACAAGATATTTAAGAAACAGGTGCCAGCACACTCCTGTATCTTTAACCTCTTATGTGAAGAAAGAATTAAAATCAAATTCAAGGAAATCATCTATGGGTTGCTCTATAGCAAATTCTGATAACAACTAAATAAATAAATAAGTGGTGTAAAATGGTAATGGTTTGAGCACCGCTATGTTAAATATCTTAGTACTTTCAGTAAGAACTCTAGAAGGATTTGTGAAGTTACTCTGTATTCTTGGTCTTATATAAAAGGAGATGTTATGCTGTGATCAGAATATTTAATTTATGTATTTTTTTAATATTACAAAATGAACAAATCTATTAATAATATTTTTCTTAAGCTTCTTAAATGTAACTAGTAATAATGAATTAATTTATATTATTTTATTTAGAATGCCATTTTTTTGAGAATTTTGTCTTTAAAGGTCTTACAAACTGTGTTAGGATTACAATCTATAGTGTATTAAAGCACAAGTACAAGGCAGTGTAACAAGCTCTTAAAAAGTACAGACACTATTGTTAGTAGATAAATTATGCATGCTTGAAGATACTCTACATCTGTTGATTTGCCAAATAGCTAATTAAAATGCTTTAAAGCCATTATGCCATTTAAGGCACATTTTGTGATTTCATAAAATGTCATTTATCTGGTGAGAACCATGCTTGCTTGAAAATGCATTCCACAAAGTGACAAGGACAGTATCTGCATGCAAATGATTGTCTCAGGAAAGGTGCCTCAGACTGATTTGACCTATAGTGGACAAGAGACAGTGACTTACCTCTACTTACAATAAAAATCATAATAGCAAGACAAATTCCAATGATTTACTCAATGTGGCTTAAGAAAAAAAGAAAGGGGAAAAAAAAAAACCAAAACATTTGTTTATATTTACCTAGAAGCCTTTATGTTCCAGATGATGGGAAATTCAATTATGCTGTGAAACAATTTTTACTCTCAGAAAAAAAAAAAAAAAAAAAAAAAAAAAAAAAAAAAAAAACCACAAAAAACGAACACCCCCCCAAAAAAACCCAAAAACCAACACCCAAAAAACCCCCCACAAACAACCAAACAACCAAAAGAAAACATCCACATTCATCCAACAAAACATAGCTTATGTTTTCAGGAAGAATATTTATATGATAATATTTTCCTTCATGTAGTATTTTCATTTTCAGAGGATAGCAACAACAATAACTAATCAATCTTCTAAGTAATCTTGTGAATTAGAAATAGATTTCTCCATTCCAGATGTACAGAAAGAAGACTTGGAGTCAAGTAGCTTAATTTGCTTAAACTGTAGCAGCCTACACAAAGCTGAATTTGGCCAGAAAAGATGAAGAGCCAGACTGCCAAAGGGTTCTAGGAACTATGACACGCAACACTACAGTATGTAAAAAATAAGCATCTAGTTCTGGAAGGGCATTTCACAGTACAGAAGTAGAAACCTGTATGGAAAAATTAGAGTGAGATTCACAGAACCCAAAATGAAAAGTGAGAACATGCAAATAGGAATCGAACATGCTGGAAAAAGGGACTGCCTGATGTTGACTGCCTGAACCTTATTCCTGCAGGGAGCAGCTGCTCCATTTTGCAGAACAGCCTCTTCATTACAGAATTTGACTGGGAAGTGGAAACCTAAGCAAAATTTTGTCTGAAGAGATTTGGATTGATGGCCAGCAGTGTGCTCTAGTGCAAGTCAAAACTAGAATAAAATTAAGCTCCTTCCTCTTGAGTACAGCATTCTGCAACCAGAAATGTAAACTTCATAGGAGATGAAAGTGAATAATAATAGACATTCTGAAACTACCATCCATCAGTGAGGATGATTTTTTGTTTGGATGTCAGTTTAGCTTAGCTAGCTCCTACAAAGTTGAAATTGTGGAATTTGAAATGGCCTGACCTGAATAGCTCCGATTACAAAGCTCATGTTTACAAGAAGACTGAAGACAAAACTTTAACTTATATCTGTCTAATTTACAGATTACAAAACTACCTTTGTCTGAGATAGCTGTTGTCTATGTGTCACAGGGTGGGATTTTGTTACAAATTAAAATACCTCATTTTAGGAGTCTACATATAAGTACCTATACATGTTCAAAATATCCAGGCTTCTAATGGAATCAGTGGATGCTTAGTTAACACAAAAATTTTTCTCCCTCTAAAATAAACAGAGTTTCACTCAGCCCCTGAAAGACAGACATCTATTCCTAACTAGAACTCAGGACAGTTAAGGCATTAATATAGTTCTGGTAGGAATGGCACATAAACTATGTGAGGACATGCCTTTGTGGAATGACAGCTGGAAGACAGTTGGGATATCATAGGTCACTTCAAATACTATTAGTATGCCCATATAATCAAGTCCCTCGTGGTTAGTCAGATTAATTGCTTTTTAGAAATTTAGTCACTATTGGCTGTATTTATTAGATTCTACTGACTATAGAAGAAGCTTAGTTACCTAGGATGACATTGAAGCCTGCCAGTAAATGCTTAATTTTAGGCAATAACATTCCACCCTAATATACACATTCACTAACAAAAAAAATTTAGGTGTGCAAGGAAATTTTGGGGAAAATATTTAACATTAGTTTCTGTGAGTAGAGTTTGGCACCAGTAATACTTCATGGATCTGAACATTAGTTTTACCAAAAGACTAGTAGTAAGTTGTTGCTGGGAAAAACTGTTCAGCAGTTCAGTTTAAACTCATTAGTTTAAATCTAACCGGGATTGATCCGTCCATTTATTAATGACATGTAATTAACTGGCTATAAATGAACTACATATTCAGAATCGATATCAATAATACAGCAGATGATCAGCAGTACTTTCACTTACAAAATACTAAGAACTAACTACTGTTTGCTAAACACCCTTATATAACTAATCCCAGAAGACTACAAAGACACACACACACACATATTTATATGCAAACCCTGCCAATGTGGGTTACACACACCCCCACCCCAATGTGTGGGTGCACATTCCCCATGTGCAGACCCTCCTAGGAAGATGTGTCTGCTCACTAAACCTGTATTACTTACATTCTGTTGTGTTGGTGAGATGGCACATTCAGCTATACCCAGCTGTTTCACTACACTGACGGATGGCAAGTCAAAATCACATTTCAATATTTTCACAGTATCAATGAATTAATACAATGGAAACCCAAACTAAGGTCATTTCAGTTAGAAATGGCAATGAATATATAGCAGATGCAAGATTAAAAAACTGTCTTAACGTACTGCGATTTAAAAATGTATCACGCCAATATATAGAGTTAGAACAACGAACATAAAAAGTACCGGAATTCACACTTACATACTCAGTGAATCACAGCAAAAGTTTATCCCTCAAATTAAATCTATAAAATCACAGATTCTAATTTCATCTCTAAGCAGAATCTTATTTCCCATCTGTTTCTTACTTATTTTCCTTAATTTCATAAAATGTCCTCTTGAGGTCAATCAGGTAATTTTAAATGAGTATTTATACTGACTTCTTATAAAAATGGGTCTGAAAAGAACCTTGAGAATTCTTATGTTATATTCCTGTGACCCAAGAAGTAATAATTCCTGACTGATGTTTAATATGTTTTTAAAGACCATCCCCCTCACTGATGGGTTCCACAATCTTTCCCCAGGCAGTCTACACCAGTGCTTCAATATCTTTACTGATTTAAATTTTTTCTCAATGTCTAAATGGAAACTTTCTTGCTGAAATTAATTTTTCAACACTTTTCATCTGTATCATAGACATAAACAGAATAACTTCTTCTTTGTACCAGTAATTTATTTTATTAAGACTATTATATGCTCTTACTCTGAAGGTCCTATGCTATGAGTTTAGTTCTCAAACATTAATTTTTCTCAATTTCTCAATCTGGTCATATATCCAATGCAGAAAACTGGACATGGAAACATGGATGATATCACACCAGAGCTAAAATAGAAAAATTATCCCAAGTATGTAGCAATCATATGTTGACCATTTCACTGTTTCATCACAGGATCACATTACTGACGCAAGATCACAGATACTCAGAATAATTCCCACTCCTTTTATAGAGAAAGCTATCAAGCTGGTTTTTTCTCCCTTCCTCCTCCTTTCTTCTACTGACTTTGGTGTTTACCTATAGGTGTCCTCCTCACAATTCCTCCTCACAACTCCCACTCTTTCTCCCAGGTTCCCTTTCTTAAATATGTTATAACAGAGTCATGGTCACCATCACTAACTGCCTTGGCCTTGGCCAGAGGTGGGTCCATCTTGGAGTCAGGGGAACTCTGAGAAGCTGCTCACAGGGGGCTACCACTGTACCCTCCCCTACCAAAAATACCTGTCACACACACAGACTCAACAGACTGCTGTTTTCATCTTTCAAGCAAGCACGAAAACCAAATTATTGTGAAATCCCATTTCAGATTATGTGTCAGAAAGTGTTATCTTACCATAATCATATACTTACTGTCACATTAAAAAAATATATTCATTCCAAATCACATTACTTAAAGAGCTTAGAAATCAGTTACAACATTTAACAGGGGCAGAAGATCCATGAAAAAGATGTAAATCTAATATTAGAGGGAAAATCACCACCTATGTGTTTCTTTTAACAAATAAAATTATTATAGTCTACTTTTATTTAGAAAAACTAACAAAAGAAGAATACAGTCAACTACAGACAATGTTGGTTATTGAAGCTTTCTTTTTTCTTACAAATTTCATAATGATGTCCTCTTGTTCCCAGAAATAAATAAATAAATAAAAAAAAGCCCAAACACTATCAATGATGTCAGAAAAGCTTCAGCTGCAGTTCCTCTAACTGCACATATATATCTGATACCGTACAGTCCTGAGTCTTCTGAATCCAGCAGAATTTAACAGGTATTAGTTTTAATGAGAATTAAAGCAATTACTTGTACTGCTGGAACATCTCAGTAAACGTTTTTGCTTTTTTTACCCTTTTTTTTGTTTACCACAGAATTGAGTGGTGTACCATTAGAACAATTAAGGCATAGGTGAATTATATGCGTTTATCTGAAACTTTCTTTTACAGGCAGATACAGCAGGTCATTCTCTCATTTTTCTTTTCCGTCGATGCTAATATCTCCTACATGTGCTCAAATACGGACTTGATTAACTTAATTAACTGAAACTTTTTTAAGGCCTCAACAGTTTCTGTAAAACAGACATGACACAATATATCTGATGTGTTATTCTTACATTCATTCTAATTAAAAAGTACTTATTCCAATTCTAAGAGGTTGCTTTTTTATCTTCACATAAGTCCTATTAGAACTATATCTGCATGACACACAGACACAGGTTTAATGGCTTGCAACTAAAAGAGTGGTTCAAGTGTGTTTTCACTGTGTCAGACATGTCACGAGTTTAGTTTGTCTACTGTCAATAAGAAAACATTAAAAAATTATGTAATCAAACAGATTAATAATATTTATAGTTACACTTAAAATGTCATTTGGCATAAACAGATGATAGTATTTTCATGTTGATTTTGCTGGAGTGAAGATGGGTTCCAAGAATAGAAGACAGTTACATTAGAACGCTAATGGTATTCCTGACATGGAGGAGATCTTAGAATTAATATTACTTACATTTTAATAGTAAAGATCAGTCAGTTCTTCCCATGAATGTGAGAAGTTTCATACTGAACTACTTTGTTACCATTAATGGGGAGAATTCCTTATGTCCCACCGTCTCACCCTGCAATTCTTGTCTAGAAAGCTCAATTATATATAAAGTTGTACGGAGGTGACTACACTAGCATGAGAATCAGTCTCGCCTCATGTTTAGACACCAACTGTCTGTACACACATACACATTCTGTATACACATGCAGGTAATATTCTTACTTCACCCTGTATACCAACAAGATTTGATCATCTAAATTTGGTAGTGGTTTTAATCTGTACAAATTAATCTAGTAATGGGCAAAATCCCCAAACCTAAGGTAGAATCACAGTGGATGGAGCTTCATATTCCTCCAGGAGTATACTATTGCTACTGGAGTACACTTTCTGTTACTCCAGAAAGGAAAAGGTTTCTGTTAGGTCCTGCATCATATTAATATTTTCATTAATGACATAGACAGTGGGATCAAGTGCACCTGCAGAATGTTTGCAGATGACACCAAGCTAAGTGCTGTGACTGAACACATCTGAGGGATGGGATGCCAGCCAGAGGGACCTGGACAGGCTTGAGATGTGGGCCCATGTAAAACTCATGAGGTTCAACAAGGCCAAGTGCAAGGTCATGCACATGGGTCAGGGCAACCCCTGGTATCAATACAGGCTGGGGGATGAAGGGATTGAGAGCAGCCCCGCAGAGAAGGACTTGGGTGTACTGGTAGATGAAAATCTGGACATGAGCTGTCATGCACTCACAGCCCAGAACACCAACAGCATCATAGAAATGGGGCCAGCTGGTCAAAGGAGGTGATTCTTCCCCTCTTCTCCACTCTGGTGAGACCCCACCTGCAGTACTGTGTTCATCTCTGGGGTCCCCAATGTAAAAATGACATGGACCTGTTGGAGTAGGTCCAGAAGAGGGTCATGAAAATCATCAGAGGGCTGAAACACCTCTCCTAAGAAGAAAGGCTGAGAGAGTTTGGGGTTTTCAGCCTGGAGAAGAGCAGGCTCCAGTGAGACTTTATTGCTGCTTATCAGTGCTTAAAGGGGGCTTATAAGAAAGATGGGGACAAAGTTTTTAGTAGGGTCTGTAGTGACAGGACAAGGGGTAATGGTTTTAAACTAAAAGAATGTAGACTTCAACCACATATAAGGAAGATTTTTATTTACAGTGAGGGTGCTATAACACTGGCACAGGTTGCCCAAAGAGGTGGTAGATGGCCCATCCCTGGAAACATTCAAGGTCATGTTGGACACGGCTTTGAGCAAACTGATTTAGTTGATGATGTCCCTGCTCATTACAGAGGGGTTGAACTAAATGACCTTTAAATGTCATTTCCAACCCAAACTATTCTGATTCTATGATTCTATGGTTCTATGATATCTGCCAGTTCTCTGTGCATGTTTCACTACCTTGGGACATCTCAAATGGCACTAAACTTTTATGCTTAAGCAAACTGGTGTACCCCTCTCCATATGTGAGTGCTTTGGAACTTGTACTATGGCAGTCAAAAGTGTTGATTGGTGTCCTACCTTTTCTGAAGACATTTATTATCAGAGTCCTTTTAAGCAAAACATTGAATACAGGGGGGTGTGGGGGGTGTGGGGGTGTGTGTGAGACATATGGTGCTGGATGTAGGCTTATCCCATCTACATTTCTTGGGTATACCTGGTTTGACCCTCAGGGAAAGAACAGGCCCAGTCTCTTTTCCTTTTTTATATTCTCTAGATTTTGTTTAGAACTCATGCTTCAGTGCAAGCTGGCCTCTAAACAGTTTGAACAGAGATATGCTCCGAGAGTCATATAGACATCTATGACTTCACTAGTCATCACAGACTTCCTTTACAGTCATTGGAGGAAAAAAGGACATATAAAATGAGAGCAATTACTACTGTTAACAGTGTCTAAAATAGGTCAGAGACATCACAGAGTAAAGAGAAAATTTATCTATCAGCTATAAGGAATTATTAGCTCAGACCAGAACACCTGCACAGGTAATCTAAAGGCAGGTAAGCTAAATCTTAGGGAGAATTTGAATTCAAGTATGGAGCTGACTTTAAACTTTTGATTAAAATTTATATGCCATTTTTGATAGAAGAGGTTAGTTTTCTTATGCCAGTGTATAGGTTTTCTACATATATTTCATAAGAATTTACTGAAATTTTTGAATATGGATCATTCTTAAATGTGATCAGTCACCCTCACAGTAATTAATGTTTCCTGTTCAAAGGGAATCTCCTGTGCTTCAGTTCATGTCCATTGCCTCTGGTCCTGTGACTGGGCAATGTTGAAAAGAGCCTGCCTCCATTCTCTTTGCATGCTCCCTTCAGGTATGTATATCCACTGACAAGATTCACTCTGAGTCTTCTCTAGGCTGAACAGTCCCAGCTCTCTTAGCCTTTCCTCACAGGAGAAATGCTCCAGTACCTTAAACATACTTGTGGCCCTTCGTTGAACTCTCTCCAGAAAACAGCATATTTAATGAGAGGAGTATTTTGTTTGGATTTGTCTTGTTCCATTTTTTTAATGACCTGTAGAGCAGCCTGATATTCCACAACATAATTAAATTAAGCTCACTTTTCATAAAATATTTTTGTTCATGTTCTTTTTGTAAATGACTCAAAAAATACTCTTCTGAGAGAGTTATAGGGATCTTCACACATTCAACAAGGACACTGATAAGTTTGTATGTCAAACTTTTTCAAGTTTAGTTATCAAGCTATTGGTATTTTTAAGATTATAGAGTTTAGAAAGAAGCTGAAAAATTGCACAATCAGTTCAAATAATTAACTTTTTTCTATATAGGTGCTAATGAAATATTTTTATCACTTTGCGATGGCCAGTGGCACTCCTCTGTTTCAAAGCCATCAGAAGTCCAACAAAAGTAAGAAATTAATCTTATTTATCATATTCTGGAAGGCCACAACTCCCATCTTCACCATGTTTTGCTAAAGCAGAGACAGATAGGAAAAATTGTCCTAATACCATTGACATGTTTCCTCTGATTGCAGTGAGAGGATGCAAAAGGTAAAACAATCAGTTATGTTATTAGCAAGTCAAAATGCTTGAGAATTTTTCCTTCCTAGACCATTTGGGTAGATACTTGTGGTGGGTTAACCTTAACTGGCTGTCAGAAGTCCACTCAGCTGCTCTTTCACTCATCCTAAGATGGAGAGAGGGAGAAAATAGGATGGATAAACTCCTTGGTTGAGATAATGATGGGGAGATATTATAACTCACCAATTAGTCATAGGGAGAAGAAACTCAACTTGGGGATTATTTTCATTTATTGCTGATTAAAACCAGAGTAGGATGGTGAGAAATGATGACAGAAACTAAAACTCCTTTATCCCTACCTCCACCCCCTTCTTTATCCCCACCTCCACCCCCTTTTCCCAGGCTCAGCTTCGCTCCTTCACTCCTGACTCCTCTGCCTCCTCCAGTCTCAGCAATGCAGGGGGCTGTGGTCAGTTCATAACAGCTCCTCTCTGCCGCTCCTTCCTCTTCACTCTTCCCCTGTGCCTGTGGGTCTTTCTCACTGGCTACAGTCTTTCAAAACTACTTCAGCATTGTTCATCTCTGTGGTCAGCAGTCCATCAGGAACAGACTTACAGCATGGGTCCTCCTGTCAGGAGCCTGTTCTTGTGTGGGCTCTCCACAGACTGTCATTCCCTTCAGGACAAAAGCATCTGCTCCAGTGTGGGGTCCCCACAGGCTGCGGTGCAGAAAAGCTTTCCGCTGTCATTCTGCATGAGCTGCTGGGGACCAGGTCTAGTGAGATGGAGCTTATACAGTTACTAGATTAATTACTTTGTATTACTTCAGTAATGCTGCAGATCCAACACACTCATGCTGGGCCTAGTTTAGTAATTCTCACGGCAGACCTGAGAAAACTAACTTGACTTAATGCCAAACCTCTCAGATGTCTGTGAGCTTCCAATCTCAGCAAATATGATTATTCTCTTCCCATTTAACTTAATCTGATGATGAATTATTCTTCTTTTAGGAAATCACAACTATTTCAAGCTTAAATTTATTTGACTTCAAATTCAAGCCTTTCACGTCTTTTCAGAGGTCTATAAACAGAGTGACCAGAGGAATTTTCTAAGGCCTAATTAGTGGGGCAAATAGGTCACATTCCCAAAGTCTCAGATAATACAGCTTTTCCCATTGTGCAACAGGACTGTATCTGTATTTCTAGTATAAACATTTTTCAGGAGTTTCCTGTTCATTTCAATGAGTTGGCACCAGTAGCAGGGGCAGCATTCTAGAGGCTGTCCATTCAAGTGCTGCAGAAGGAAAAGCAAAATTACTTTCTCCATCCACTACTTATTTCTCTTTTTCTAAGGATTTCATCAAAGTTTGGTGCCACAGTAGTTCACTCAGTCTGATGAAGGTATCTCCAAAGAATATTAAACCTCTGAATCACTGTTTTTCAAGGCAGAATTCCCATAAAAGTTCTCATGTGGACAGCTTTGTATGTGGCTGAATTAAAACCATTAGCTTAGACTGTGACCAAATTATCAGATGATTCAAACAATACTTGTAATGTTAATCTTTTCTTTTCAATGTTTAGTATCCCACTAGTTTATCATTAAAATATTTTCTACAATCACCTGTAATTTTTCTTACAATTACCTTTAACTGTACCAGGGAAGAACTCTCCCTAGAGCACCACTGCTTCTAATGATGTTTGATTTTTTTGTTTAGGTAATTGATGTTTTCCCACTTAATGATTGCATTTGGGGATTTTCCCTGTGTGTTCTGAATGGCATAACTGTGTTTTTACCGCTATTCATTCAAAGAAATTTTATCACTAGGTCAGATATAAAGTACTAATGATTTTAAGTGAGAGAACAAGAGACTTACAGCGTGTAAAACAAAATGTCGCAATTATATACCATATTTTCAGCAGTTATTGAAATATTTACCATTATGAAGGCATTTACTAATGAGCTAAAACTCTAAAATGCTGACAGGGCCCTGAGAGTACTCCTAGGACATAATGTTCTTGCCTGGCTACTGTCCCAGGACTCCCCTCACCTGCCCATGGTCCAGGACCCCATCAGCCAGGGCTGTCAATCCCTGCCCCAGCAACACCTCAGCAGGGCCAGTTTTCAGCTCCCCACAGCCCTGCTCTGCCCAGCCACTGGCCCTGACAAGCCGGGCCCACCCATGGGTCCATGTCCTGGCCAAGCTTCATCCCTAGAGAGGTCTCTGATTCCCAGGTCTGGGGCTCCCCAGTGCCCCCTGGCTGCCCTGCTCCTGGCCAGGCAGTGGAAAGGGCCCTGGATGCCAGGTCCTGACCAAACGGACTCCACAGGGAGCCCCCAACTCCAGTCAGACACTGGTCTTCATGGTGCCCTGGCAGTGACTTAGAATTTCCAGTGTGAATTACCACAATAAACAGATATATTGTACATCCCCTTCAAAAAAATTGTTTAAATGAAATTTGTCAGAGTGAAAAAATTGATAAATCTCATGGCTGTTTTGCCCATTCCAATAATCGATCAGTTCATTCATTTTGGTATATCTTTTTTTGCATTCTGGAAATAGTAAATTTATTTCAGATCATGAACATATATCACTATGTAAATTGAATTCTATAGTTATAAGTATATTCTAAATTTAAAAATCCCCTCTGGGTTACACTGAGATTAAACAGACAGTTTGGAGGGCTTGATGCAGCAGTTTACCATCCTCCCAATAGGTTAGAAAAGGAAACTTTAACATTGTGCCTAGAAACAGTATGTCCATGACCTGTGCAGGAATTTCCATGCAGCACTAGATTTTCCTAATACAGAAAATTGTTTGCCTGGTTTTGCTGAATGAGATCATTTTCTGTCATTTCAAACCTAGTATGAACCAGTATCCACAATGAGCAAAGTTCACCTTATTGTGGATAATATTATTAACTCTTTTTTTTTTCTTTTTTTTTTTTTTTTTTTTTAAATAATAGTGGCTTTAAGAGGTCCACAGTTCTCTAGAGTAGATGTTGAATTTAAGAACTTTGATATGAA